GATAAAAAATCAATCCGAGTGAAAACATTCATACTAGCATCCAAGTATTACTATTTTTTTCTCATAATAAGAGTCGACACTACTATTTAAAAGTTAAAATAAACAATGACATTTATCAAAATTGTGCATTCAGGTATTCTAATATTTCTACGAGTTGGTACAACTTGCTTAATAAAATAGGGACCATGACGATTTGGAAAAAAATCAGCACGTTGGAAACAAATACTTCATCCGTCCTTTATAACTTCACCAAAATTTTCCAGCTCGCACATAGAGTAATAAAATGAAAACTGTGTGTTTGAAGTCTATGTAAAAAAGAAAAAATTAACAAGAATCACAAATACATTAAAATCAATTGGAAATACTATTAAACATTAATATCAATATCATTTCACTAATTGTAACAAGTAATTATTTCATCCCAAGACATTTCAATAATGTAGCTTCATAGTTGGATTTTAAATAATTTAATATATTAATTACCCAATAAATCAACCATATTTGATAATGACCATTTTAGTTCAAACTTCTCTCATTCTGGCTAGTAGTTTGTATTGGATAATTTGCTGGTCCAAGCTAGGAGGAATGGTAGGCTAGTAGCTTTAATATATTTAAAAATTGCAAGTGAATCTCTATTTGTAATCATTATAAATGCTCTTATAATGAATTGAATAATGTTACTCATATTCACATTTTTACAATATCAAATAAAAAACGTATTGTGAGCAGACATCTTCAAACTACTCAATCCTGTAGTTGCTGGATGCCTCATATTCCGATTACTCACTCATACACATAAATGAGTGAAACTACTCAAGGATTGCTAAGATAAAAGAAAGTAGGAGAACATTTGTTATACATATTCATTATTGTATGTAATTATATATGTATTCTATAAACATTAAGCAAACGAAACAGAGGCATAAATTTTAAAAACTAATATTCACATACGATTTCCTTATTCATTTTCTAAGGCAATTCCAAACAAAAGAAAATAACTTCTCTTGGCATTTTATCTCTTTCCATTGGTACTTTTTGGGATCCAAATAGGGCCTGATGAAGGTTTGATCAAATACTTTGAATGGATCAGACTGTCCATTGCCAATCTAACCCCACATTAAAAACTTATGAATTAACTCTCTAGAAGCTTGCGGAATAGTGTGGATTCCTCTAGAATATTCTAGAGATGTGTAGAATCTTCCAGAATCTTATGGAAGAGTATGGAAGCATATGGAAGGGAATGGAAAAGTATAGAGATTCATTGGAGTTCTCTAGAATATGTAGGGATGTGTAGAGCATTCTAGAGAACTACTCTTCACCATTCATTATGGAAGTGAAGTAGTTTAAATAGGAGTAGAGACCTTCATTCCTAACCATCTTAGCCAAGAGTAAATCCACTTCTTAGAGTGAGAAAGTTAGAGAGCCTCTTTGAGAGAGAAGAGAGATAGCTTGGGGGGAAGTTCCTATCCTCAAGCTTGTGTGAGCCATCATTGAGTGAGACAATTTTGTAACATCCTTGTAAATCCTACTATTCTTTTGTATAGTGGAGAATTTAAATCGTGTGCTCCCATTACTATCTTAATTTCTAAGTGCCTATCTTAAGTTCACGAAGCGGGAAAGTCCAGAATTTTTCCCAACACGTTGATCGGTGGAGTCATAGATTCTTCTTTAAAAGAAAGTATAAAAACGAAAATGTTAAATTATTATAAATGAGTCATTCTTGGTGTACCCATTTTGGGTTATCAGCTCTTATTTGTGTGGTTCACAGAAGATCATACATAAATTAATTGCAATTACTTTTGTGAACCACACAAATAAGGGATACAAATGGGGTGTCCCAAAATGGGTACACGAGTATTTTTCATTATAAATAAAATTCATTGCAAATTTACATAACACATACACACATTTGATTAGAACTAATCCATATTTGAATGAATAAATGAATTTGGTGGTGAGTTGGGCGTTGAAACTTAATCATTTTGAGTCTTTGCCTTCTAGCTTTCGTATTGTTTAAAAAGCCTCTAAAAGCTTTTAGTTGTATGTTTGACATGAAAAATTTTAAAAGCTTTTCAAAAAACAAAAGATCTTTTTTGAGATGCTACGGGAAGTAACATCTGAGAAAAGATCGTGACTTTTAGTATTAATTTATCCTAACAGCTTGTATACCAAACAAAACTAAATCAATCAATCGGTTTTTTACCAAACAGCTACCACTTTTTTTTAAGATCTTTCCAGTAACTAAAATCTAACAGTTATTAAAAAACTCACAAAAATTTCTTTTCTGTTAGTCGTGCCAAACATACCCTATATCATCCAAAAATAGACAAAAAAATAGAGGAAGAGGAGGTTGAATGTAATGTTGTGCTTCGTGATTCTCTGAAGATAAATAATCCAAAAATCGACCAAGAATATATTGACATTCTAGTAATATATTCTTCTTGCTTTTTGAAGAACAAAATTTGTAAAAACATTACTACAATAATCAAAATCAGCTAACAATTTCTTTAGTTAATCTATCTTTGGCCGACGTTACATTGTTTGGAACTTGTTTTCTATGTGGAAGCATATTCTTGGTATATAATTGTCCACCATGACCTTTTAAATAAAGAGAAATACCTATACACTACATCCGTCCTATGAAAAAAAAACTTCCATTTTCAGTGGAATCATTCTTGTTGTACCCACTCTTAGACCAACCTTATACTCATCATGTTTGTAAATGTTTGTTTTTTGCCTGTGAATTCGGTTTACAAATAAAATATGTCTTATTTTGTCTGTACAAATTTTGTACAAACAAAATATTGTTTGTGAACGAAATTCACGGACAAAAAAAGCTTTGCAAAATATGATAGATATAATGGTGGGTATAAGGGTGAGAATAAATATCTTTTTTTTGTTTTTTATATCCTCAATTGAGGTTCAAATTTCGATAAAATGAGAGTTTAAATATAAATTGCCTTACTCTCTTCTTTTTGCCAAATTTATACTTATTACTCTCCCGTCTATAATTTATCTTCCAAACGACATTTGAAGCGGGAACTAAAATAGTTGATATTATGTGGTGAAGAGTTGTGCGTAGAAAAGATAAATATGTAAAATTGTGTAAAAAATGATATGATCCAGAGATTCTTTGTCAAAAAATGAAGATTGTTTTGGGACGGATAAAAAGTAAAATTTGAAAACGAATTCACGAATGAGGGTACTTGATTTGACATAAAATAAAGTTATACTTTGAAAAGTTCAAATAAACCTTAATATCACACTCACATAAATAAGTCAAACATGTACTTATTTGGAATAGAGGGAGAATATAGGATTTTGCTCCTCTCCATTAACTGGAAATGTCCAGTGGGAGAGAGATAGAGAGAAGTGGGAAATGGTGGGTAGGAAAAAAGAAAAGATTATGTTTAATTATTATTGTTAAGGAGAGAGATAGAGTGAAAAAGAAATGGAGAGGGTAAATGGAGGGAAGGAAATGGAGACGAGTATGACCCGAGAATATATGGGTGTTTGGAAAATGACTTTTCAGCCAACAAATGATGTTTTGGTCACTTTAGCATTTTCGATAAATGAAAACTATGTTTGATAAATAGATATTCGGCTCTAGCGTTTTTGGACGAACCGCTGAAAATCTGAAATGATTAAAGGGCTTTTTCCTTGAATATTACTAAACTAGAGTCAATTTCAAAAAAAGTGACCTTTTTATAAAAAGAAAAAAATGTGACTAAGAAGGTCACATGTTTAGGAAAACATTATGTCACTATCATTTTTTATGTCGCTGTCAGATTTTTATGTCACTATTATATGTCACTGACAGTTTTTTATGTCACTTTTGAAATGTCACTATCGGTTATCACCGTCACTTTCAGATGTTATTGTACAGGAAAACGTGTCAATGTGTCACCGGAAAATTTTACGACGACATTTCCATGTCAAAATTTTCGGCGGAAAAATCACCTTGCCGCCTCGACACCACCACCATCGCGTGAACCCGCCTGCCGCCCCTTACTCCAGCCCCAGCCCCCTCCACTGCTCCCCCTCCCCTGCACCCAGTCCCACGGCCCCCTCCCCTGCAGCCCAGCCCCCCTCCCCTGCACTCTAGCCCCCTCCACTGCACCCTACCCCCTCCTCTGCACCCCAGTCCCCTTCCCCTCCTCCCCCGTCCCCCCCACAGCTTCCCAGCTCCATCCCCATCCCCCATCCTATATGCCCCAGCGCCCTTGCCCAACTCCGACCACCTTACCAGCACCCCTCACCTTCTTGACCGCCGCCATAACCCGACCGCTGCAACCACCGCAACCCTAGGATGTCGTCTTCCCCGATGTTACCCATCTGTTCTCATCGCCACCGTTGAGATCTAAGAGGCAACCATCCGGCCTTCAGGTCCAGATTTGGATCTCAATCGAGTTTTAGGGTTTGGGAGCAACGTTGATTAGCGGAGAAAAGAGAAGAAGAATGAAACGGAGACGTGCAGGGTAGCGACGCAACGACGATGACCTTGGTTGCACCGGCCATGATGCAAAGGACAGCAGCGTTGCAGGGGGTGGGGGGTGGGCGGTGTCATGGCCGACTGTGGAGACGGTGACCGACTGCGGAGGTGGTGCGATGGCTTGATGCAAAGGCAGTGGCCGACTGCGCACGGAGCTGGTGAGAGCGAAGCCTCACATGCTAGATGCAGAAGACATGGAATGGTTGCATACAGTTGAGGAAAGACTGTGAAGCGCATATGATTCCATTCCAAGTATAGGGACAGACAGATGGGTCACTTTTGTGTCCATTAAAAAGTAATCACATTTTTGTCCTTTCAAACTCTAGAGGTGATAATTTGGCCGTTATTTCATGATTAAATCCTGTAAATATGAGAGTTTTGGGTTAGCGCTTTGAAATATGATATTTTCTACTAATTTTTATTACCAAATAGTTAAATTATCGAACATTTTCTGATAACCCACCAACTTATTTCGCTAGTTAAACTCGGTGAACCCGGCTAACATAACCTCCTATTCGCTAAACGTCAAACAGAAACCCTATATATAATCCCATATCCGGCCACATATAGGAAGTAAATTGAATTTTGTCACATACGAAAAGAAAATGAGGTTGCCCAGCATCATGTTTTGCATATTCTTATTATTATTCGTAAATGCATCCCACGCACAACAATGCGGAAGCCAAGCCGGCGGAGCCGTATGCGCCGCCGGGAATTGTTGCAGCCAATACGGCTATTGCGGCAACACCGCGGAATACTGTTCTCCGAGTTCAGGCTGCCAGAGCCAGTGTTGGTCTTCCGGAGCCGGAGCGCCTCCTCCGCCCGCTACTCCGACGGCCCCCAGTGCTGGCGGCGGCGATATTAGCGGTGTTATCAGCCAGTCTGTTTTTAACGACATGCTTAAGTACCGAGACGACACCCGCTGCCACGCGCCAGGATTTTATACGTACGATGCGTTCATCGCCGCCGCGAAATCCTTCGGAGATTTCGGTACGACCGGAGACTCGGACACGATAAAGAGAGAAATCGCCGCTTTCTTGGGCCAGACCTCCCACGAGACTACTGGTTCGTTGCCTCTTTTGACTTTTGGACTTTTCTTACATACGTGACGTATATATATATACATCTATTCTTTATTAATGATTTTGACAATCACGACTTCAATTATAGTTATCTTTAATTATGCAACATGGAGTAATAAATAGAAGTTGAGATTAGGATTAAATAAAAGGATAATTATGAAAATACCAATTTAAAGTTTAAATTTTCAAAATAGACCTAACTCTTCTTATTCCACCTTTTCTCTTGTCCTTCCTAATAGGATATTTTAAATGATAATTATAATACATAAAAAAGTAAAAATAAAAAATAAAAAATCAGAAAAAATAAATAAAAAATATACAGACCTCAATCACCAGCTCAGCCACCTTCCAGCACCGCCATCTAAGGTCAGCGAAAAAGATTGTCAAGTTGGAGAAAAATTGTCATCGTGATGACAATTTTGAAAAGAAATTAAGAAAGTTAGATATTTTCAAATAGTAAAAATGTCATTTTCATAGCATTTTCAGATAAATGTGACATTTTTACACAAGATGACATTTTTTCGACGATCAGGGGTGGTGGAGTGGGAGGATGGAGAGGTAGTGGCCTACATTTTTTTTATTTTTTTAGATACTTTATTTTATTTTATTAAGATTTTTTAAAGATTTTTAAATATTTTTTTTATATTTTATTTAATTTGTTCCTGATTTTATTATTAATTTATAAATATTTTTACGAATTTTTATGTTCTTATCATAAATAAATCTATGGTTTTTGTTACTAATAAATAAATCTATTAGAAATTATAGGTTGGGGGTAGAATAGGAAGTATAGACATATATTACTCCTATTTTTAGTCCTATTAAGGGCTAATAGTCGATAAAAATTATAAAACTAAAGTTTTGAAAATTTAATTTAAGAGAAATTTTAAGCATAGTCATATTTTACTCAAAATAATTCGATTGCCTATATTAGCAGAAAAATATGATATGAATAAAGCGCGAGTAATGAAAAAATCGAAATGTTTCAAATATTAAAGAGTGGAGGAAAATATGTAAGTGAAATATGACTATTGACTATTGACTATTGACTATTGACTATTGACAATTGATTATTGACTATTGACTATTGAGCGTTATTCTAAAATTTTGCGTTTTAGTTTCAAATTCTCATGTAATTAGACTCAACTCTTTCAAAACTGAATATATATAAAACTAAGATAATAGTAATTGAACAAGACACATATCTTTAAATATTAAATCAAACAATAAATAATATTTTAATGTTTAATGATTAATGATAAAAAATGATAAATGAGGAAACGGTCAAGCTCAACAAGTAGCGACTCACTCTCATATACGGAAAGTCTCGAGTTTGAAATTCTATGAAGAAAGTTTCAATCTTATTTACCCTAGGCTCTCCCGGCCTTTTCCCTCTGATCCTCTGGGTAAAAAAAATAATGATAAATTAATTTTGAATACTCAACAAGTCAACATTCGATCTCAAGATTTGTCACTGAGGTCGATGCACATTATACTCATTTTAATATAACACCAAAAGAACCGTAATAGAGAGGAGCATGATCCAAAAAATTATTTTTGATAACTTACCCAAGACTCATAAGGGAGATGAGCATAAGTGTTAATGCATGATCGCTATAGACTACTCCGAATGCGTGCATAGCTCGGGGCATATTATGTCCCTGGTCCATCCCAAATTTGATAGAAAGTGAAAAACATTTATTCGGTTTCTTATTGCCAGTAAACGCAAACTTTTCAGTAATCCTAATCTGTCTTAGCAATACTTGTGATTTCTGATTATTGAATTTTGTAAACATAAAAAGGTGGGTGGGATACAGCACCGGATGGCCGATATGCGTGGGGATATTGCTTTCTAAGAGAAAACACCTTAGATTCCTACTGCAATGTCACTCAAGCCTGGTCCTGTGCTCCTGGCCAAAAGTACTTCGGACGTGGTCCTATTCAAATCTCTTAGTAAGTTATCCGTATATTAAGACTTGAAGTTTCATCTTTAGTTTGTATGTTAGGTAGAGCTAATTTGAACATAATTAGATTATGATACTTCATTTTGATGGATGTTGGAACTTGGCAGCAACTACAATTATGGTCCAGCAGGACAGGCACTTGGCTATGATCTTATAAGTAACCCTGACCTGGTCGCAACGGACTCGACGGTGTCCTTCAAGACGGCATTGTGGTTCTGGATGACACCTCAGGGTGCAAAGCCGTCTTGCCACGACGTGATGACCGGTAAATGGACACCATCTGCCGCTGACACAGCGGCCGGTCGTGTCCCGGGTTATGGGCTGGTCACCAACATCATTAACGGTGGGGTTGAGTGTGGCAGTGGCGGTGCGAAGGATAAAGCTGATGACCGGGTTGGATTCTACAAACGCTATTGCGACATTTTCGGCATAGCCTATGGAGACAATTTGGACTGCTCTGCTCAAACTCCATACACTGCGACTCTTGTTTCCTCCTGAAAATGAAAACATCTTGTGTACTAAATCATAGCAAATAAAATGAAAAATTGTATGTAACGGCCTTCAGGACTTCATATGTTATATTATGTGAGGGCCGTGTCTGGTATACGAATAATTTCATGATGAAAATAAAATGTACATGAAAACAATGTGAATTGTATCAGTCTTGTGTGATGATGGTCTTTGAAATTATAATACTCATTTGATAAACAGTGAAGTTCTTGTTGTTTCTCATTAGCAAAGATGGTGAGCAAAGTGACTCGGGTCAAAGGCTAATACATAGAAGAGGGTGTAACAAACGAATATAAACATTAACCGCTAGCCTAATTAACTCTTTAATCAACCCACTTCTTCCTATGATCTCCAGAAATTTGGAGGATATGGCAGATCCCATTTGTCATGTTTCGATTTAACTTTTGACAAGGCAAAGCGAAATGAATGGAGAACTTGGAGAGAACCGATAGTCATTTAAAAGAAATTATATAGAGGTCATTTGGTAACACTGAAATCGGATGATTCTGCTGAAATTTATAAAGTTCTAGCTGAAGTGGTTGTAATGTCTGATTCTGCTGATTAAATTATATTTAAAATATATTTTATTGATAAAATAAAGATTATATGAAAAATAACTAAAATGATCATCTACAGTAATTTCAGCCAATACTGCAAGAAAAGTAACTCGAACCTCACTTTTTTCTTATTATTACACAATTCAGCGAGCGAAATCAAAAATTGCGTGTTTGGTTAAAAAGTTTGTTGTCTCTATGCATGCAAGTAAGTGTGACCAATACTAGTTGATTTTGTGAATTTTCAAATTAAGACAATAGTTGTATAAGCAATGTACAAGATTTTTAGATAAATTTCTTTATACGACTAGACAATAAATTATCTGAATCAGATTCAATATGTACACTTTGAGTAAGCTGTGTACAAAAAGAGCTATTCCAAAAACAAAGCATGGACGAGAGGTTTAAATGATATCATTAATGACGGCCCCTTAACACAGACTCGTCATGCTTATATAATTAGATTAGATCCGAAGAATCAAGAAAATGCATCAAATGACAAGAACTTAGATCTGCAATAATTGACCAGAAATGCAATTTAGTCATTTAAAAATGCAATTGTGGAAAATGAGAAGGTATCGGTGGGCGTAGCTCAACTGTTAGCAAGGGAGTGTCACAAGGATTAGGTCCCAGGTTCGAATCCCGACAACTGTGATGAGGAGTTACTATGTTAAAAAAGCATAGGGCTTCTGCAAGTACCGGGGACAGAGCTTCACTCTCTATCTGTCAGATTAGGATTATAGTCCAATTTACATCCTCTCAACGTACCGTCCGGTCGGGGTTGAGGGCCCTCAGGGATGGGGTGTCATCCTTTTTTTTGTGCAAACTGAGAAGGTAGTAAGTACATCTAGCAATGGCATGGTGCATTTATCAGGTACAAACACATTAGCTGTATTTGTTCACAACAAATAACAATTGATTATTCAAAGAATGAACTGGCTGGAGCCACCATTGGAAACAAAGTGAGACCATGCACCTCGTGTACACATTATAAAAATCCACAAATTGTTTTTTTCTTAACTACCATAACATCTTTCTGTATCTTGGGAGTTAGAACTGCTTCATGATCTCTTTAGATCCCATATGCTTCTTCACTACTTTGTGTCAGAGGTTCTTCCTATCCAGACAGCTTTGGGAAGGGCCGTCATTCTTAATTTATAGTAGTACACTTACTAGACATATTTTTGGGAGAATGAACCTTTCATAAACCTGAACTGGCTGTGGCCCTATTATAATAGTAGGGTTGTTAACGAACCCACAAGCTTAATAATCCTGATTTGGCAATCGCCTATAATGAATGGTGTTTGAGCTTCATGAACCAAACTTAAGAAGAATACGAACCACATTTAAAGTCCGCACAATTATTAGAGTCGAACTCGAGAATAATAGTGTTGTTACAATTAGTGTCGCACTATTGGACATCTATCTATACAACAACAACAACATCCAAGCCTTATTACGAAAAAAATTGGGGTCGGCTAACATGATTCATGAATCGATCCATGACATCAGAGCCATCCGAAGTCAACTTAATATAAAGTAAGATAAAATGTATAAGATAAAGATAAATATAAGATAAAAATTATATAAAAACATAAGAGCGATAAGAGATAAAAAGATAAAAGAGAATAAGACACATAAAAGATAAAAATAAGTAAATAACTTAATATGACTCTTGACAAATTGAGCACTTATCTTCTAAAATCCTTAATTCAAGCATATTTGTCGAACGTAAATTGACGTACATGCTTCTAGAGCTCGAACCCGAACATTCCTATTTCGGAATCTAGCCAAAGTCGAGATTTTTATGCTCAGCTCACATTCGTTAACGCCCATGACCAAGATATATTGGTTGGGAAAGTACAAGGCTGTTTGGCCCAACACATCTAATTAAGTCTATTATTATACTCCGTATGAAATTGCAAAACATGGGTGCAGAATGTATCACAAAAAAGTTGTCTTATTTAAAAAAAAACAAAAAAAGAGTGGTTACAACTTAGTTACAACAAACAAACAGTTTTTCATACAACGTATCCAAGAGTCACAAACAAATTAAACATAATAAATATATCTAAACGAGGCACTTCTTGGGATGGGTGCGGTATTTGATATGATACATTCATCCCGTACGAAGAAAGATTCTTTCACAGACGTTCTCGAATTTCTGAAACTCTACGGAAAATATACCCCAACAAATGAAACTAGAGAAAACTTCCAGTTTTCCAATTCAAAATTATGTTTCCAGTTGGTTGTGTTTCGTGTTCATGCACCAAGGTTTATCCCATTTTAAAATAACTTGTCAAGATTATAGACCCATGCAAATGAAACCCCACATGCATTTACTTCACATGCTGACGAGATGGTCACAAAGGCCTACTAAACTAAAAATTAATAAAAAATGAAAACAAGAAAATGCATTTTACCTGCCGTTTGTCTTCTTCAGATGTATCTTTTGTGTGTGTATAAAAGGAGCGGAAATGCTTGCCAACAAAACCAATACAAACCCTTTCATTAACTTGTACTCAATCAGAGGGATGGTTACTCTTTCATCACCAAAGTCGCTTAACCGCTACCATGCCCGTTCTGTTAGCTTCCCCTGCACATCACACCCCTGCACAAACAAGATTGAACAAGTTCTGAACAGGATTAAATCTTGGGAGTCATCATCACCCTCATCTTCTCCAAAGTTAGAAAAGGTATACATACTTCTGCATGCCCTTGTAGAGCTCTATGAATGCATAGAACAACTTCTTGCACTTCCCATCACTCAAAGCCATCTTCTCCAACACCGTAATGAACGTTTGGTCAATCGGTTGCTGGAAGGATCCATGAGATTAATTGATATATGCAGCAACACCAGAGAAATGGTAATGATGTCCAAAGATGCCATCCGTGAACTCCAATCTGTCTTTAGACGAAGCAAGGGGGGAGATCATCTGAACCTTGAGAGTGGGATTGATTCGTACACCCGTTCAAGAAGAAAGGTGCACAAGGAGATTGAGAAGACACTCACTGTGTTGAAGCAAATTGATAACAGAACAGTTTCCCGTTCAGATTCCCACATAATCAGAGTCCTCCTGGAGGCAAGTCTTGTTTCGGTTTCTACATTTGAGTACATTGTGATGTTTCTTTCTTCCATACCAACCTTGAAACCAAAGCATGGTAGACGAACATTGGTTTCCAAGCTTGTGAGCCAGAAAGGAGGATTGACCAATTACCATCACGGTAAAAGGGACGACAGCCTCGGTGATATGGAGATAATGGATGCTTCCCTGAATGATTTACTTCTTCTCCACAAATTTGGCAAGCAAGCACGAGTGGAAAAGCTCGATTTGGCACAGAGAAGGCTGGAGACTCTGGACATCAATAGTGAAATTCTTGAAAATGGTTTGGAGCATTTGTTCAAACATATGATCGGCATAAGAGTGTCCCTCCTAAACCATCATTCTGAATAGAATTAGTAATTCCTTTTCTTTCGTAATACTTAGCCAGTTGTTGGATCATTAATTTCATTGTAGCCTGCATGTCAGGTCAAGAACTTTGGATTCTTGAAGCTGCTATGATGCATGTACATGACTACATGAGTGAAGAAAAGTATAGGAAACTGAAGTATGTAACATGTAAAATTTGAGAAATAACTTGTTCCTCAACGCTACTTTTGACACAATGAAGATACCCCACCTACGGGCGGATCTAGCACTTCAATTGAGTGCGGACCAAAAATCTAAAAGAGATCAAAATATATAAATTTGAAAATTAAGTCAAATCTAAAAACTAAAATTTCAAGTCTTCTCTATAAACATTCCATGGACAAACTCCTAACTACTAAGGTTGGACCGATATAATATCTATAAATGAAAATTACTTTCATGTCTAGCCTTCTAGATTCTTTCACTGGCCTGTCTGCAAAAAATAACAAAATGCTATAAAAATCATCTCAGCGAAACTGCAGTCAAATTGTTTTTTACTGCCTATTGAGTCAGATACAACAAAAGAACATTAAAAATAGAGTAAAAATTAACATCCACCATAGGAGGCACCACCACAATAGTAGCCTATTTTGCTGTGTTGGGAATATTTTATGGTGTTCAATCTAGTTAGTTATCTTTGTATTTGTGTAGTTATCAATTAAACGTGTAATACGGGCCACAAATGTGTATCAGCCCGTGGGCTTCCTTGTAACCCGTAAGTTAGCCAACTTCTCCTATAAAAGGAGGCTAACTTACGGGAACCCTAACGATCGTAAAAGGCTTAGAGTTCAGAGGCGTAAAGATAGAGAGAACTTAGGTTTGCCGGTGCTCTCCTTCTACGGGGAGAGCGGTGGCCAGTTTTCATACGGTATACCAGATTCGCGTATAATATCTACATATCTTTCTATCTGCTTCTTCTATAACTGCTATGTTTGTTGTTTGTTAAGTATTCTGGGATTATCAATTGGTATCAGAGCCGAGGCGTGAAAAAGGTTGAATGTATCTGCGATTTTCTTGGATCTAACGAAGAATGCTCTGCTTTTCTTCTCTTTTTCTTCATATAGAGTTTTGCTCCTGTAATCTTGTTTGTGAACGAAAATCTGTAAAAATTATACTGTTGGAATCGCCTCTCAAAACCGATTCTACAGCATATCTTCTTTTTCGTTTTCTGCAAATTTTCATTTTCGAAAAACTCTCATTGAAAACTCGAGTTTATGCTTTTAACACTGCTGCAGAAACGATTTTGACTTGAAACAGATACAGGAGGGATCGCGACCTTCAGGGCTATTCATAACAGTTTTCAGATTCTCAAAATTCGACAGTTTTTAAAACCGAGAGTTTGTAAACTCGCGGTCATGAACTCGAGTTTGTAAACTCGCGGTCATGAACTCGAGTTTGTAAACTCGCGGTCATGAACTCGAGTTTGTAAACTCGCGGTCATGAACTCGAGTTTGTAAACTCGCGGTCATGAACTCGAGTTTGTAAACTCGCGGTCATGAACTCGAGTTTGTAAACTCGCGGTCATGAACTCGAGTTTGTAAACTCGCGGTCATGAACTCGAGTTTGTAAACTCGCGGTCATGAACTCGAGTTTGTAAACTCGCGATCATGAACTCGAGTTTGTAAACTCGCGGTCATGAACTTGAGTTTGTAAACTCGCGGTCATGAATTCGAGTTTGTAAACTCGCGGTCATGAACTCGAGTTTGTAAACTCGCGGTCATGAACTCGAGTTTTAAACCTCGAGTTTTTAAAAATTTGAGAGTTTTGGAATTGCGAGTTTTGGATTTTATTTCGAGTTTTAGGAACTCGATGTTTTGGATTTCGACATTCTAAAAAATTTCAGAATTTCCGGAATTTCTCGATGTTTTGAATCTTTCAAAGTTTGCAGTTTCTTGGAACTCATAATTCGAATCTTGACATCTTTTGCAGTTCATCGAAGCTTTACATTATAAGGATCTCTGAATGATTCCCTGCTTATATAAATGTTTCAGGAGTTTTCGATGTTCTGATGTTTTTCAAACAGCAAGTTTTCGAGATTATGAGGTTTTTCGAAACTCCAAAGTTTTTGAGGTTCCAAACATTTTGAAATTCTGAAGATTTCGTCATTCTGAGGTCTGTTTTGCAGGAGGATTTCGTCATTACTCTTCAAGGCACACTTGAAATTAAAATCTCCAGATTTGGATTTCGAGTTTTTTTCCTTAGAATATTGTTTAAATTCACCTGCTCTCGAAATTCAACATCGAGAACCTCAACCTCGAAGATTTTCCTCAAAAACTTAAAATTTGAGATTTTCTGCGACACCGCACTGTTTTGGCCATAACTTTTGACTCGGTGATCCGATTTGAGCAAACTTTTTTTTGTTGGAAAGCTAACGCAAAGATCTACATTAATTCTAGGGCTACGCCCCAGAACCCAATCTCACGCGCCCTCACTCGCAGTCTTTGAGGGTCAAAACGTTAGTTTTCCGACAAACATTGTAAATCACCGATGTCCAGGCCAAAACTTAGGCAAATCTGTTCAAATTCTTTCATTGTCAACCCTGAGGTCAAAACTTTTCTAAACTTCAATGTAAAGGTCTGAAAATCGTAGATAATTCAATCAACCTCGCGTCAACGGTCAACTTACAACAATCAACAATCAACTGCTGAAGCCGCCCCTGACTCATCAACATTATGTGATCATCAATATGCTGAAATTCTACATGATGAGTTCAGGAAACCGTCATGTGTGGTACATGTTTAGATTGCTCCACACACATGGCGGGTATGACAAGCTGTGAGCAATCAAACCTTGCACATTCTGAGGGGGAGTTTCAGTTTTCTCCTCCTGGCGCCTTACACCGACAAAGCAAGGAATCTCTCAAAGGATGCAACATTTTAGGGGGAGTGTTCAATGTTATCCTCCCCGGTGCCTAACAATGACAAAGCTTTCCGAGTGCTCCAGTTGAGGGGGAGTACAGAGAGAAAATGAGAAAGTAATGAGAGAACATGTCCCTATGGCTTAGTAAACCCAACTAAGCCTACCCAAGGGACAAAGCCGAGCGTAAGTGCGTAAGTGAGCGAGTGAGTGAGTGAACATTATGAGCATTAGGAAGCAGAAGACTCAAGTGAGAAGAAAAACAATTATCAATGATGAGTCTGCTACCTCAATTGCCTGCTATGAATTGAACATTTGCTCCTAGCCACTAAAATACTCTGGACTATCCCCATAGGTTCAGGACTGAATTTATTCAGATCCCGGGTAGAAGTCGCTGCATTTTGTCCAAACGGCGCATGCACAACCATACCCTAGACCACTCACTTGTCTCCCAACAGACAGGTGTTTAATCATAGTTCACGGGGAACCGCATCTCTCATTACTGTCTCCTTCTGAGGCTAAGTAATACTGACTACAGTGGCCTCAGCCCCATGCCACTGAACTTTCATTGATCACGTCGTGTCTAGTCACTCACTTCCCAAATGTTTTGAAATTTTCTAGGACACAGACATATTTTAGAGTCAGTTTGTAGTCTTCAAGACCTGCGAGAACTTCCATAGGTCTCATCTATTGCAGATGTAGACTAATGATTGGAAGGAAGTCCTGCTGTTGCAACATAAGAATCACCAACATTTTCAGGCCATTGCTTAAGAGTTTATCTCTATAGTGATGATAACGGGCGTCTTCACGACCCCGGGGGGCTACGTTATCGTTTTTAGATTCTGCTTGTTTTTCATGTTTTTATTTCCGCAGAATAAAAGAATAAAAGCATGACGTCCCGATTCATCGGATCGTCATGAGGGGGAGAGTGGTCCACGTGCTGTTAACACTGAACAAATCATTCTGCAACACTTCACTCCTCCATCACAAAAATCATCATTTGGGAGAGTCAGTTACTCACTCCCAAATGTTTTGAAATTTTCTAGGACACAGACGCACTTTTAGAGTCAGTTGCAGGTCTTCATGACCCGCGAGAACTTCCATAGGGCTCATCTATTACAGATGTAGACCAATAATTGGAAAGAAGTCCTGCTGTTGCAACATAAGAATCACCAACATTTTCAGGCCATTGCTTAAGAGTTTATCTCTATAGTGATGATAACGGGCGTCTTCACGACCCCGGGGGCTACGTTATCTTTTTTAGATTCTGCTTGTTTTTTTTTTATTTCCGCAGAATAAAAGAATAAAAGCATGACGTCCCGATTCATCGGATCTTCATGAGGGGGAGAGTGGTCCACATGCTGTTAACACTGAACAAATCATTCTGGGACACTTCACTCCTCCATCACAAAATTCAAAACTCTATCTCTACTATCTCCGCAACTCAAATCAAATGGTCAGCTACACTCACAAATCAACCATCATTATGTTCCGCTGTGCCACCGACAAGTTCTCCTCAAATGCATTCATTCCAAATAGTCAAAAAGACTACATTGTGGAGGAGACAGAGGTCAAATACTCGTGTCCTGAAGATGAATTCCATGGGCGTCTCCTATTCTCCAAATAACATTCATTATAGAGGCGTCACCGCATTTCATCCAAGCTGATCAAGAGCAACTTCTGGAAGGCAAGGACTACATGCAAGATACTGGAGGTCCCTAAACCCCCGACATCAAAGATCAAATTGTCAAGAAGACATCAAAGGGGAGATTGCAAGGATTTCTTCAGATAACCTTCTTCAGAAGTCAAGTTCAAAGACAAAGGAAGCTCAATAACAACAAAGACAAAGATATCTGCGCTGCAATGCTGATTCAACACGATTGATCACCAAGGGAGAGATTGTTGGGAATATTTTATGGTGTTCAATCTAGTTAGTTATCTTTGTATTTGTGTAGTTATCAATTAAACGTGTAATACGGGCCACAAATGTGTATCAGCCCGTGGGCTTCCTTGTAACCCGTAAGTTAGCCAACTTCTCCTATAAAAGGAGGCTAACTTACGAGAACCCTAACGATCGTAAAAGGCTTAGAGTTCAGAGGCGTAAAGATAGAGAGAACTTAGGTTTGCCGCTGCTCTCCTTCTCCAGGGAGAGCGGCGGCCAATTTTCATACGGTATACCAGATTCGCGTATAATATCTACATATCTTTCTATCTGCTTCTTCTATAACTGCTATGTTTGTTGTTTGTTAAGTATTCTGGGATTATCATGCTGTACTGGTATGCAGGGGTGCGGTAACTCCCTTAATCAGATTTTTTTGCTTAATTACTTTCCAAATTCAAGTGACTGGTTGGTTAATGACTAATTGACATACGGCGTTTGAGTTGCCACAGTTCCCTGCCCCACTGCTTAAGCCTTGAGCTTATGACAAAGTAAATTCTTCAGACGTAGACTCAGATTATTTAGATTTTCTTTTGCATTTTCAGTGTGGGCATATATCGTCTGAGCGCAGATCCGCCACTTCCCACAGGATCTACTTAAAACAATTACTCCATGATGCACTGTATAGTGTATAAACATAAGGTATCAATGAACAATGTAAGACCAAGTTCTTCCTCAACCAATCTAGCCATTCAAAATCTGGGCATGGGTACACTGAAAGGAAGTTGAAGAGAGTAAGACATAAAAAAAAATGAACGGTAGCATGATTTACTTCTCAGAAGTGGTTTTATAATCATACTAATCATGAATATGTCCTTGACTCCTTGTTCAGTCAAGAAGAGACATCAAGTTTGTTGAACACAAGAAAGTGAAAAGGGGAGCCTTTTCTTAAAAGGAACATATAAAACAGGAACAGCTCAAATAAATCAAGTCAATGATAAAAGAAAGGAGTTTGCAAAAGGGTAATGCAGCGGAATAGAATGATCCTTTTTTACTGCTCGTGTATGCTCATCTTATCATCATCAACCGACCTTCTTAAGAACTTCTTCTGAAGGAAGTTCAAGTGTCGCCCCTGCGTGCTCCATTCCTGGCTTCACCGCTGTAACGCAAATAACTCAACATTATCAAATCATGGAATTCGATAAATATCAGAAAATTGCATCCTTTGCGACAATTTAACATACAGGTAGCGGGGGTTCTATGTAATGATATGTATGTTAAACTCAAAGGGTTCGGATTGAGCCATTGAGAGTTTACCAAAACTGCCGCTATCGGTGCGTTGAGCTTGGACGATCATGGTGGAGATGAAGGTCGAAGCTTCCCGTGCGTCCTCAAGAAGCCTTTTGACCTCCTCCTCCGACTTCACGTGCCGGTTCTCCTCGAATTTCTTCCTCACCTCGGCTGCCGATTCCCGAAGCATCAAAGTGTCGCCCGTGAAGGTCTTCCGAGTGGCTTTCAACACCGTTCTGTATGCTACTAACACTTCATTTCTTGCTATCCCGCTAGCCATATTTCCTCCGAACACTTTTTGGGCGCTGATAAGTAAATTAGACTCGTGAAGATGGCAACACTCAAACAAGTAAAAAGAAAGGCAGAATTACAAAATAAGACCAAAAGAATCTCATTTTCTTAAAACAGGACTACTAGTTTAAAATGTTATAAATACTACTTCCGTTCTCTTTTAATTGCAACATTAGACTTTTTGCACTATTCACATATTCTACTTTGATTATATTTTATTAATTAATGTATTATAAATTAAATTTTTAAAAAATATTGTTAAATTCTTCTCATTCTAAATTTTCAAAATATGATTTTTTAAATTTTTTTACTAATAGGGAAAGAAAAATATTAATGGTCAAACTAGTTCGTTGAAAACGTGAAATGTTGACTATTGCAATTAAAAGGGAACGGAGGAAGTATGCTTTTTTGTAAATTATTGTATAAGGTTTTACAAAAACGGGCTCGGGCCGGACTTTTTGTAAATTTTCTACCCATCATGTGTGGGCGGGGCCGGCCCGGCCCGCAAAAACGGGTCTAACCTTATGTACATACGCACCCATAAGAGCAGGCCGGGTAGTCCACCGGGCCGCCCGACCTGGGAAAACTTTAATCTTTTCAAAATTATATGATTTTTTAAATACTTTAAAAATAATACTATCATCTATTACAACATTTAAAAAATAATTAATATGCTTATAATGTTTATACGTCTTTCACCACATATAAAAAAATACTTACACAAAAATAATAATGAGAAACTATATCTAAAATTTAAAATTTAAGCACAAAGTACTATCTTTAAGGATATTTTTACTTGAACTGTAATTCATCCCAGACCAAACCAGACCAGATCAGACCAGACCAGACTAGTTCAGACCAGGCCAGACTAGACCTGATTTGGATAGTTATAAAAATACAAAGAAACCAGACTAGACCAGACCAGTATAAACCAGACCAGATCAGACCAGACCAGCAAATTACAGTCCAAGTAAAAACATCCTAAGTACAAAAATAGACATTATATTGGTTGGGCTAGTTGTTAAGAACAAAAAAATTAAATTTAAACATAATAAACTATAAATACGTAGAAAGAAAAATTAGTAAATATAAATATATATGTGTACATGCAAATAAATAAATAAATTAATGTGTGTGTGTGTGTGTGTGTGTATATATATATATATATATATATATATATATATATATATATATATATATATATATATATATATATATATATATACTAAATGTAGCGGGTCAGGCTTATCGGCCCGAACGGGCCTACACCATAACCCAAGTCCGCCCATATCTTATTGCGGCCCGGCCTGGTGGGTAAATATATATGCCCAAGCCCGCCCATTTGTGCGGGCGGGTCGGGCCGGTTTTGTCCAGATCTAATTTATTCGCGATTGAACAAAAATAACTTCATAAAACTAGAGCACTACGGCCTCCACGTTGTTGAACCGCCGTTGGAAACTTTTTACCAGATTGTTCCCGCGGATTTGTAATGATTTCGCCGCCGTCATCCATTACTGCTGGAGTTTCCCGCCGCCGCCGAGGTGCCATCACCGCCGAACTCGTCACCAACGGACAAACCTTGATTATGTATAGGAACTAGGGGCAATTAATTATTATACGTAGTATTATTTAATTAAATAAGTTAAGTGTTAAAAAGTGAAAATTAAATATATGCTCCAAAAATTACTGCTTCGTATATTTTAATCATATAAGGAGCAATTTCCTCAAAAATGAAATTGCTCCATAAATAGACCTTCCTCAAAAATGAAATTGCTCCATAAACTCATAAAGTATGACGGAATTTCACATAAATAAATACAAGGAAAAGGTATCAAACATGTTATCATAGTATATTCAAAATGACAAGTACACCTCCTCAATAAATTATTTAGCTTGTTACCCATCGGTTTCTCAATTACCAATTTCAAAACCATTTAATTTACTTCTCCCTGAACCTATATTAGCGGTGAACATAGTCTGGTGTGGTTCAATATTTTTCCGAACTCGACATCATATTGTGACTATTTAAGTGGTACAATTCAGTACAATTTAGAACCAAACCCGTTTGGTGCCGCTCCATTCTAAAGGAGGCGGTACCATATCGTATCAATACTAAACAATTTCACTATTTCAACGATACAAGAAGATACTAAAGTTAAACATAAGATACTAAAGAAGATATATAAAGACATAAAAGGACATGAGTATACTAACATTTATCCAAAGCCCTTTTCTTTTAAGGTCAACGACATCTATTTCACTTACGTTCTTTTCAATTTTAAAAGTTAATAGGAGTAGTTACTAAAAACTCATAAAACTATCTTTTTAATTATTTGTGTCAAACATATACTAAGATTTTTTAGAGATTCTCTAAAATGTATAAAAGCTAAAAGTCGTTGACTTAGCTTACAAAATATACACCAAGTATATGTTTGGGTGACCATTTAAACTCAAAACGAGTTGAAATTTGATAAGTTTAAACAATTAATTGTCATGGAATCTTTCAGGATGAAGAATTAATTTTGACTAGACCTACATTTAATCAGCTGATTTGAAACGTTAATAATTGTAGCGTTCAAATCAACTCTTCAATTTACCGCGAATTTATGTCAATTTTTATCTCTAGATACTCGAATTTTATCTTGTTTGTATTAAAGCATTTATATTTATGTGGATCATTGCGCTTGCCGCATACCCGCGCCGCGACTCAACCTTTTATACTAAATTTTCATTCGTTATTTCAGCACATTGTGCTTTCCACCCAAGTCTATTTTGTTCAACTAAGATTTTAGTTTGAGTCACTTCTATCTAGTTCAAGACAATAGCCTTTAAATCGGATAGTATATTACAGTTTCAGCTTGGACTTCAGACATAACTTGACTATATGTTTGGCATAAATAGTTCACAAAATAATTTTTAAGCCCTTACTAACCTCTATATTTTAGTAAATGAAAAAAATATGAAAGAAAAAATGTATTGTTGCATAACAAATTAAAATAGTAGCCATTCCATCGGCTACACTGAAGGCAAGCGATCTCAATTCCATCGACAGTTGTTAGCAGGGACCGATCGACGATCGAACGTTCGGTTGGAGAGGGTGGTTGATTCATCCCTCTAGATCGAAGATGAAGTCGCTACTCTAGAACGAGATTTGCGCGGCAGCCCTGTTTTCTCGCTTGGTGTCGGTGGCAGATCGAGGTTTCTGACAAAGGAAGCGTGAGATTTAGTTTTTCTGGCGAAGGGCATCACCGGAGGAAGATACATCAGTTTCTTGGGTGAGAATCGGGAGGCATGGGACTTGTCAATGGGTTCAGAAGCAAGCGATCTCAATTCCATCGACGGTTGTTAGCAGGGATCGATCGGCGATCAAAGGTTCGGTTGGAGAGGGGCAGAGGGCGGTCGATTCATCCCTCTAGATCGGAGACGAAGTCGCTAGTCTAGAACGAGATTTGCGCGACATCCCTGTTTTCTCGCTTGGTCTCGGTGGCATATCGAGGTTTCTGACAAAGAAAGCATGAGATTTAGTTTTTCTGGCGAAGGGCATCACCGGAGGAAGACACAACAGTTTCTTGGGTGAGAATCGGGAGGCATGGGAGTTGTCAATGGGTTCAGAGGTGGTGGCGGATCGGTGGCGGCGAGGGTTGTGAGGCATGATAGTCAGATGATTGGTTTGGCTATGCTGGTTCTAATGATGATTGAGATGGAAGTTGTACCAACTGTGTTTGATCCAGGTGGAACGTTGGCAGTAGGGGTCCTGGTTAAAGGAGGTGAATTTAGGTTTCAATCGACTGTTGAGGGATCGGCATTGTTGTTCTGGCTGCCTCAGACGATGGAAGAAGAAGATGGGATGTGGATGATTTGTCCCCCTTCTGAACCGCCGCCTCAAAGGAAGTACGCGACTAAGGCCCGAAAGATGGCGACACAACTGCTTTTTGTTTATTTTTGTTATGTCCTATTTGCTAATCTTTATTTTGGATTTATTAGGGCAAATAATAAGGGTGGTAGATTCTTATTTTGGTTTACTTTAGTTGATAGATTTGTGTTTAGAGGAAATCAGACTGATATAGCCGCTAATAGCCTCAAAGGTTTCACATTTTCAGGGATTAATCTCGCTTTTATTGGGGTGAACTATTCTATATCTGATGAAGAAGTGAGGGGATCGGTGAACTTCTGATTATGTTTGTTTAGAGGAAGGTTAGTCTCGGGGATTACGTTTATGTTCTGCGAGTTTTTGATTTAATATAATATGTTAGTTTCCTTCCCCAAAAAATGTAGCCATTCACACTTACCAAACATGTAATAAGTCGCTTTAATGAAATTTGCCTAATTCCCTTTAACGGATCTATCGACCCTCAATGTTGTCCGGTGGCAAAAATGTCGTGCTCACCTCCGCCCAAAGCTTGCTCCTTTTGTGTTTTCCCTTTTTCTTGTATCCAAACATTAAATTTCGACCGTTATAGTATTCCCTAATACTTAAACCCCTCTCTCTCCCGCATTCGAGCAGAGCAGCCATGGCCATAGCCCACTGGAAGAAAGCCATGAAGATCATCTCCCTCTTCCACCGCGGCTTCAACTCCTCCAAATGGTTCTTTCGTACTTCTTTTCCTCTTAATTAAAAATCGCTTTTCTTTACCCTTTCCCCCCAAAATGACACTCGACAATTTCTCGATAGAACCATGAACCTTCTTTCTAATTGTTAAATTTGTGCATATAAATTGAAATTCAGCAAGACAATGGCTAGGATGACGACGGCCAGGATAAAGCTGCTGAGGAACAAGAGGGAAGTGGTGGTGAGGCAGATGAGGAGAGACATTGCCATGCTTCTCGAGTCCCATCAGGATGCCACCGCTCGCATCAGGGTACTTTTCTTTTTTCTTCCTAGATTAACAAACTGTATGCTTTATAGTTTGTGTTTGGCTTGATTTTTAGGATTAAGAGTTCGCGACTAGTTTTGCTAAACTTATTCCTAATTCCATTTCTTTCAATTATTGTTAACCCTTGTTGCTTCGTAGTTAGTGATTGTACATTTAGTCTAATGTATAGTTGCCGATATTATTGGATGTTTTTTAGGGGAGAGATTTGGAGGTTAAATCTGTATCCTGACATGTATTTGAGATTTTTTACAAATTGAATGTATAATGTAGTAGGTGATCGATCATGTAACTTTATACAGTATTCATTTTTGGAAACATTCTATCAATGAAGGCTTAGACAAAGACTTTCCAAGTCTTCGCCTACTACACCCTCCATCCAAACAGGTCATAATGAGCAGTTCGTGCATGAAACGTAACATCACCTCAGTTAAATACTTAATTATGCTTATATTCTCGAAGGTAATGTGAGATTAATATATGGGCATGTACGATTACTAAATTGTGTTTGGTTGAGATTGTGAGGATGTAATATTTATATGCTCCAAATCTAATACTCCGTAAAACAATACCTTATTCAAAGGGGAAAGGAAATACGGAGTATTAAAAAGTAAGCTCACAATGCCTAAGAAACTGTATTTGCCCAACATTACTCTATTTCCCTATGTGGAATTAATTTGCTATTACCTTGGTGGCCTATGGGTTCTGATATTCTTGATGCATTTCAGTGCACCAATGTGTTTTTAGTGGAAAGCATCTTGATAATGGTTAAACTTTAATTATAGATGCTATTTCCAACTCATGCACCTGTTTTATAGTTATTACGATGGTGTTGTAGGTTGAACATGTAATAAGAGAACAGAATATGTTGGCAGCAAATGAAATCATTGAGCTCTTCTGTGAACTTATTGTGTCAAGGCTTCCCATAATTGCAAAACAAAGGTGCCCCCTTTCCTTCATTAACATACAAACCCTTCGGTACACAGAAGTTTAATTTTGTGACATCTAATTGTGTAGTAACTTTTAATGTGGAATCCACATTATTCCAGAGAATGTCCTGCTGATCTGAAAGAGGGAATATCAAGTTTAATATTTGCAGCCCCCCGGTGCTCTGAGATTCCTGAACTTCAGGAAATCCGCAATATATTTGAGAAAAAATATGGGAAGGATTTTGTTTCTGAAGCTGTTGATCTAAGACCGAATGCTGGCGTGAATCGAATGGTACACATTTATGTCTGTATACGCATGTCACATTCAACAAATATTGGTTACACTCCATCCAGTCCTTTTCAAAAGGCACTCTATCCGAAATGGCATATTTCGGATGTTCTAATGTTTTTCTTACGAACTCAAGAAAATCAAATTTTTCCTTGGGTTAGGTAGTTTCTTCAATTGTTCCTTATAATAGAGTAAATTAATTTGGATACTATGAAGCATGAAAACTAGTACGCTTCCGTTTCCGAAACTCTACATAAACTCTAAAGATTTTTTTTTCTATTAAAAGAGGTGTTTTCCGTTTCTTGTTTCCCCGTGACTCTCACCTTTCCGTGCAACATAACTTGGATGTGATTAAAACATAGGGTGTTCCCCAAACATCACAACCAGAGTGATCTTTTGTGACCTTATTTGATGTTCTTCTTTATTTGAGTGATTGTTTTCTTTTTCAATATCCAAATAGAAAATGTTTTTAAGAATAAAACCATGATGGTGATACTTGAAGAAGAATGTTATGTTTTTATAATATTTAGGGCAATACCTCCTAACTTCGTATTCATTTTCCTACTACAGCTCATTGAGAAGCTCTCTGTAAAAACCCCAAGTGGTGAGGTGAAAATGAAAATCATGAAGGAAATTGCAAAGGAATACCAAGTAGAATGGGATACCACAGAGTCTGAGGTTGAGCTACTCAAACCACCAGAAGAGCGTATAGTATGTTTCTTTTTATCTCCTTCTTTCTTGATAGTTACTACATTTATTTGGTGATCCTTCCTCCATTAAAGCTGTGTGAACTCTATTTCTTCAGGGAGGGCCAAAAACTTTTGTGAGTGCCACTAGCGTGCCTATTAAACAACCAGTTCCAGAGCTGTATGTTGTCCATCCTCCCAACAACCACACAACTGTGTAAGTTATTGGACCTTCATTAATCTAGTAGTTTTTTTTTTACTTTTGAGTTTCTTTCATCAACATTACGTATAATGTTGATGTAAGTATGACATAGACAAGGAGTGGCTCCTGACAAAAGTTTTAAGAAGGGGGGGCTTTAATGAACTGATTTTTGTGCCCCTGAGGCTGTGTGGGTGAGGCATATGAAAGAGATTTCAAGGTTGTGTGATTTGAGGCTTTTTTTTATTGAAATGTTGTTGATAAATAACGAGAAATGAGTTCAGAATTAAAACAAAAGGCTGACTGAATACTAGCAGTGAAAATGTCTGATTTCCCACAAATTAAAAAGGAACAGTATCTCCTACGAATACCAAATCATAGCAAAACACTTGAACACAGGATTACCATAACCGGAGCTTAGAACCTGAGCTTGGTGAAGAACCAACGGTTTTTCCCACTCTTGAACCTCTCCTCGAATCATGCCTTGGCCTCCTTGTAATTGACGAGCTTTACGAACACCTTAATTCGTGACTTCTTCACGCGCTTCTTCTCAGAATCCTTGCGGATAACCTTCGATGGATACTTGGCAATGCAAGCCACGAGGCAGTGGCCGTAGGGGCGTTCACGGATTCCTTCATCGAAGGCGCGTATGATCACCGCCTACCTACCGGCATAGCGTCCCTGTAGAATGATCACCACCTTGTTTGGCTTTAGGAACTTCACCATCGTTACGCCTCTCCGCTGCCGCAGCTGCTGAACCTCTCGCTATGTCTATCTTTTGCGGTATCACTCAATTGAGATTAGCTTAAAGGGTTTGATAGGACTTATTCGTATCAACAGGGTGTTTTTATTTTGAGACTTATTCCATTAGTGCTTCAAAGTTAAGCATGCTTAACTTGGAGTCGCTTAAGAATCGGTGAACCCTCAGAAGCTTAATTAGTGAGCATGTGAGCCCTTCAAGTCATGCTGAGGACCAAAGTGTTGGTGTATGTAGACGCTCGTCAAATTTGGCGTCAGAAGATGGTATCAGATTCTGGCTATATTTGGATCACATAATCATAAGAAAAGTAAAGAAAATTCCAAGGAAAACTTTCTCTCGTGTTTGAACTTTTCTAAAAAAATAGAAACATAAATGAAATTTAATTAGAGATTAAATTTTTTTTGTACACGTCTAGATTGCTCAGTATGATATGATATGAAGTACTAAAAGTAAATTTATGGAGTTTGAATTATTGTTTTAGTTTCCAGTTTTTGTATACTTCCAAATTTCTCCATATTTTCTTTTGTTATAACTTTTCATGTTTCAAAAGAATATTACATTATGTCGGAAACAGAATCACAGATAATGGTGGAGCGAAATATGAAGATCCCGAATCGGCAGCTAAAGCGGCAGCTGAATGTGCCAGGCAAGCTATAGCTGCAGCTGAAGCAGCGGCATACCTGACCAATGAAAAGCGAAGAGCATCTGGAGATTTTCAGCATCATGGGGAGGGGGACATTCATGCTGCAAAAGTAATACTTCGAAGGCATAGCTGCAATTTTCCTAGCTGCAACTCAGATAAATCTGTCAAGTATGATGAATCTGACTATGATGAAGAGATTGAGATGGAGGCTCGTGATGATGATGCTTGTAGTAAATGTGAATCGAGACAAATCGGTAGGAGGCAAAGCTGCAACGACCTGTCTTGTAGAAAAGACGACATGGGGCAACCAGCATTACCTCGGGTCCATCCGAAATTGCCTGACTATGAAACACTCGCTGCTCGTTTTGAATCTCTGAAGTACCAAAAGAATTGATGGTTGATTCTATGCAGATCATAGCAATATGTCTAAATACAATGTGTTTCTATGCTTAGTTTCTCCTGTTATTTTCTTCTGTTAGTTCTGTATACTGATAGACTGTATTTTCTTCCATTTATTTAGTGGTATTATTCAAAGTGGGAACTAGATTCATTTAGGCAAGTACATCAGATTGTTCGAGAAAATATCAATAATGAATGGAAAGGTATTTTTTCCCAAATGTGGCATTAGAAAATATCTACGCAGTGTTTTTTTCCTAAAGACTTCTTTGAGCTGCGGATTGAATGTGAGAGACAAGTTAATGATATTATTACGTGCTCCTTACCCCCCAAATAGATTTTCACTTTTCCTAGAATGGTATATTGTCTTCTCCTAAAATCGGGGGATCCAATTTTGCAAGTATGATTCTCGGGAAAATGATACTACGTCTTGCAAGACCAGAGTTAGAGAATGATACCAGAATTAGTAAAATTTGCCCAAACTTATTTCGGAAATTCACTCTCATTCACTTTAGGTAAAAATTTGGAAAGTTGTATTATCAATCTACGCCCTAAGCCACGCTTTCCGGAGTATTATTTGCCTGATTTTGCAGGGGAAAGCTTTCCGAAAGAGCAACAAATTATTTGTAATCTGAGACTAAAATATTGGGGTTAATTAGTAAACCAAAAACTATCATCTCCACTAATAGCCCGGAACCAAGCAACTGAACAAGCCCTCAATAATGAGTACAACATGTCACCACATTAATTTGCAATGTGGGAAAAGCTTAATCATGGGGATACTGCAAAGTCTGTAATCAATGATTTAATTTAGCTTTTCTCCAGCACTAATTTCAAAACAGAATTGCTGCAATAACATGTTCAGCAAACAATGTTGTCTAGACTCTAGATATGTCATTTTAACCTTGTAAGTTGTATCTTATACCAAAGTAAACATTTGTCCAAACTTGTATCTTACGCTGCACTAAATTGTCCACTTTTCACCCATAAACATTTTAATAATTAATTGAATTAAATAGTTGACAAGCATACACTAGTGTACATTACAACAGTAACACCATCAATGGTGAAAACTTCCAAACTGCCAAAAGCCACCGCAACTAACCATTTGCCAGATGCCAATGCTCAGCAGTTTCCTTGACTCCGGTCTTAAAAAATGCACAATAGATGCATGTCATGTCCTTCAAACGCTATACCCCTAATGGGCGGGCAGATGGGCCAAATCATTAACAGCAACACCGGCAAGACATGACATCTGAACAAGTATAAGGTTTTGACTTCTCTTCTATTTCCATTGCCGTTGGCAGGGGTTCCATTCTGTACATCTCCCTGCTGCGGTCACAACAGAAGAAGAACACATTTCTACAAACCCCTCTACTAAAGGGAAACACTCTCTCAGGTACCCCCCTGCATAATGTACGATGTAAATCTGTCTTAGTTATTGCCTATTTCAAATGTGTGCTATCAACAAGGAAAAAGATTATGACAAACCTCAAGTATGGTATCCTTCGCCGTCGAGCAAGCTCATAAGTTGTCTGGTTTGTTAAAACAAGGTAGCTGTTTCAAGAAACAAATGTGGGTTTTAATAAGTTATTCTGATCTAGCACTGAAATCCGCATTTGAGTGAAAAGTTGATGCTAAACTATAAGAGGGGGAGAAATAGACAACAGATGAATAAGGCTTGGCCTTTATTTTGCTTAAAGGAGGAGCATGCAAGAATCTTTGCTTTAGAAAAAATTACTCCGTATAAAAATTTAATTTTGATATATTTTATTAAGTATAACAAATATGAAGTAGACAAAGTTGATTTAGAAAAGGGGAAGAAATTAAGAAAAAATATATCCTTCGATATACCCCAGTCCAGGGTAATAAAAATGAGGAGTTTGGAGGATCTACAGCTCCTCTGTTTTCCTCCCCTTCTCTCAAATGTGAAAATCCCTCAGATCAAACAAGTGCTTAGTGAAAGGATTATTCTAGTTGATAACAACAGCGCTGCACCAAAGAGGTTTGTACTTTGAACGAAGAAAAAGACTATTGAAAAGACATATGAACTCATACTGAAATGAGTTCAGTAAAATGACAAACTAAAATGGTGATTAAAAATCTTAAATGATGAACTTATACTAAAATGACACCTGAAGTCCTGAACTTTCAAATATCAAAAAATTTCTGAAAAAAACATGAAACTCTTGTTTCGCTATTAAACAGTTCATACTCTCTACAGTAGGTAAAATATATCATCTCCCTAAGGTAAAGTTTTAATATTGCTGTCTCATATACTCATAATTCATACGTGTACAACCCAAATAAAAACAAAATTCAGAGAATATGGACTAAAACTCAAATAACGTAGAAAGTCAACAAATTAAGTACCCAATAACATTTTGATTTGATGCAAGACATTTCAAAAGCGAAATAGCATAATTGATGCATAAAATAAATAAATACCTGTGAAAAAGTAGTAGGAGAAGCAAGAATATAAAGAAGATTGACAAGAAAGCTAGCAATAGAATCACAATTGCATACGTCCACCTGGAAAAGGAAACATAACATTAGTTTTAGGTTAGTCAACATTATAAAGCATATGCTCTTACTCCATGGCTTGTAACAATTTTAAAAGTTGGCTGGATACATTGTTTGTAACTGTGCAATGCAATTGCACAATGGTGTGCATCAGCTATATTTGGGCCTGAGGCAATAAAAGGCATTTCTTATTTCACGCGATGGTTAAGTGTACGCAATTGACCTGAGGTGTACGTAATATAGTGTACACAATGAGGCGCATACAGGCGTACACAATTTTGGACCAGGGCTTAAGTGTATTATTTGGAGCCACTTTTTTATTATTTGGAGCCACTTAACAAAAAAGGGCCCACTATTAATATTGACCTGCATACCTCTCTTCTTAATCTGTGTATCGAATGAACTATATGATTCATACTTAAATCCTCGTCTTTTCTCTAACTTTTTTCAATCTGCACTTTATCTTGTAAAAATAATCTCCTGCACTTCCCATTTATAACCACTAGATAGTGATGATTCGGTTTTTTATTCATCAATCTAATAAACTTGAATTTTTAATATGCTAAGAATTTTGTTTTGATGAACGGATGAGAAATAATTGCTATTATATACTCCCTCCATCCCACTATAATTGTCTCGTTTTCCTTTTCCATCCATCCAACTAAATTTGTCTCATACCATATTTGGTAATACGGAGTATATGTGTGGCTCCAAAACATACTTACTTTATTCCCACTTTATCAATTCATTATCAGCCACATAACTTTGCTTTTCTTGAAAACCGCACCACTCCTTTGTCCCAATCTTGAGCGTATTACTTTCCAAGAATGATGACCTCATTATTATTTGTTGTAATATGCCATTTGCTGACTTTTATTGAATATGTTATTTTATTTTATGTCTTATTGTATATATGTGTGTTTGTTTTACGTCTCATTACATAATGAGGCGTATGCAATATACAAGCTAAAAAAAATCACCCCATATTTGTACTAATCTCCCAAATTTTCCCATATTAACACTACTCACATTAAACACTTAAGTATTTTGAAAAATAAGATGCACTTAATGTTCAAAATGTTGAACTTTTATATGGGTGAAATACTGAGAGGTATAGAACTATAGAAAATATTAACCCCCAAAGATGGTGCGCTTGCTTGTTTTTATATTTTTGTCCATCTTTTTCCTCCCAACAACAATGAATACAAACAAAAACACATAAGAATGTAAAAATGTAACTTGAAGAGGGAAAGCACATACCATGCCTTTGATATACTCGATTTAAGGAACTGAATGTATAAAATGCCAGTCCAGATGCACAAACTCGTCTCCTCAAATATGTACCACCTGATATAATCAATTAATCATTTTAGCAAAACAAATATAATACTCCCTCTGGTCCTAAATAAAGTTCACACTTTCCTTTTTGGGCCGGTCCAAAATAAAGTTCACACTTCTTCTCTCTTCCTTATTTGGCAAATTATCTACATCAAAACAGTGTCAAACAGTGCCAAATAGTGTCACAACAGTGTACTCTACAGTAAAGTCAAATTTATTTTCTTAATTTGTGTGAAGTCAAACATTGAACTTTATTTAGGACCGGAGGGAGTATTGTGCAACTGAGCAAATAATAAATCACATTTGGACACACTTACGCACAAATAAGTTCACCTAACACTTTGAATATTTACGAAAAATTACATAATGGGATAGTGAAGTTAGTGTCAATCGACATAGTGACAAATTATTGCATTGCTACAAGAATGCATGCTCACCAAAAACGGCAATGGTTTCCCTTCCCAATACATGTCCCAAGCCACGCACAATGATGATCGAACTCAAGAACACATTTGTTACAATCATGACAGTGTTTAGCTCGAGGAGGCTGCAAAGAAATTTTCAAGCAGGAAGAAAATCCCAATCATGAAACTATAGATAAAATGCTTATGTGTTTATATGTTAATAAACTAGTTAACTACATTTCAACATATGTTGACTTCCGTGATACAACGTCATTTAAACTTAAAAACATATTACGTTTACAAATGTCATCAAATCCTGAATATTGATTTCTCTATTAGAATGTGCATCTAAACTTAAGAATCACTAAACTGAACACTGTAACATTTCATTCCATATGCCAGCTCCAGGCATGTAAGGATGATAATTAGAAGAGATTCTACCTGCAAAATGTGACAGTAGGTACAAGTCCAAGTTCTGCAAACAAAAAAAAAATCAAAGTCAGTTTCATGCATCCACTCTTAATGTATGGACTCATGGGCTGTGAGTCTGTGACTAGACACAGAGAATTTAGAACATGCATTATGTAGCTCTTCAACTATACACATTACCCACCTTAAAGATGATCCGTGGGGATACAGATCCATGACTAGCTTTGTCCAAGGTGTTGCATTACCGCCTAAGAGATGTTTTTCTAACTGCTTCCTATCAATTGTAATAACTACACTGCCATTTTTGCTTGAAGCAGGTTGTCTTTGCTTGAACATGTAACATGAACATGATCAGAAGAATGTCAAAAGTAAGATTTTTAGATGGTCAAAGAAAATTGTGCTTTAAGCATCTATCATAAATATCAGCAGAAGAATGACATTGATTTGATTATTTGACAGTGGAGATAATGCTCTCACATACCTACAGCTTGTAGTTACATAGGGTAAAACAATTTTCTTTGCTCATAAAAGAATCTCCCCCCCCCCCCCCACCCCATAAATTTAAAAAATGTTATTTCAAAGTGATCTTACTTCGAGATCCCTGATGTGCTATCACACAAGGCACCTGCCTCATCAACCGCCCTCATTGCGTCAATAACATACCTAGATTTCCAACAATAAAAGCAAATACTAAGCCCCTGAATCATAATGGTATGGTACCTAAAGAAAAGAGTACAATAATACAAAAGTCTAAAATTACCCGGGAGATGAAGAAGAAGTGATGAAATATTGAACCACAGTGGCAATGAGCAACAACAAGTATAATGCAATGTACCTGGAAGGAGAGAGTAACATGGTCCGTTTCTAATTTTATAATACAAAAGTTAAAAGATGTAATTAAAATGTTACACGTGAAACAGTGATGAAGATATGAGAAAGTTGGGTAAAACAACCATTACTCTATTACCCTCCCACATCAACCATTACCAGTTAGAATAGTTAAAGCACCCACTAGAAGATTTAAGCCAACTAGGCAGTAGCAAAAATCAAATCCAGCAACTTAATATTGTTTTTGTCATTAGAAATTCCACATCCTGCCATTTCAAACTTTTTGCTACGTGTAGAGATAAATTCATTATCACCAATTTAATAAGTTCATAAATTTTAATGTATCATTATGGTAAGTACACTTTCTTGATTTTGACAAACAACTAAGCTCAAACTAACCAAACAATTATTAATATTTTTCACAAATACCAGCGTAAAAATATGAACAATTACCAGGGTTCTACTCGGGTTGTCTCAAGTAACTCTCTATTGAACACCAATATAAAGCCCACGTATACCACGTGCAGCACCACCAGAATTAACTGCAAGCAGAATGTTGATCTCCGAGCTGAAAAGTTTCAAACAACAAATCAATCGATTCAATAACACACCTCCACGCGTAATTCAAAGATAAACGAGATTGAATGAGGAAGAACGAGCTGTGAATACCAGGATCAGATAAGCAGGGCAGGAAGCGAGTACAGCGGTCGAAGAAGCGGTCCCACGTGTCGCGAAAGAAGTTAGTGCAGCATGCGCCCATTGTTATTGATCGTCCACTCACTCGAAGCGGCAGGCGACTCTCAGAGCCCCATCTCAGTTTTCGATTTAATAGAGGCTTCGCTGTTGCGGGAGATGAATGAGCAGAGAGGATATATTGAACAAAATAGAGGGAAAACAATGGAGAGGGAGGGTAATTCAATTGGAGCTTGATTCCTCTTCACGCCTCCTTCCCAGATCCGGAAGAACTAGGATATTGTCTGAGTCAATTCGTCCCTGCCGCCCGTGTTTCATGCCGTTTAGTGGTTCAGATAATTGGACAAGAGTGGGTAAGAACCAAAGGTAACCCAATTCTAAAAGCTGTGCTATTTGCTTAGGTGTGTTTGGATGTGGTTTCGGAAGGGAGACGAAGGTCAACAGGCTTTATGACCCTTCAAAAAATTGGAGGGTAGTTTTGGAGGATTTTTGTAGAAAGAATTACATAGATATTACTCCTCAACTTTCATTGGACAAAAATATAACTCTTTTAAAAAATTCCAGAAAAGTTACCTATTTCTCTCATTCGTCCCCAATCGTCCAAGACTCTTCTTCCAAACACCTCACCCCCTCCTGCGCATCAAACCTTATGCAGCCAACCTCCTCCCTTACTTCCACATTTTCCCTTCTTCTCTGGCAAACATCTCCCTTCACTCCTCCGCCTCTTCTTCTACCATCTCTCACCGCCACCGCCGCAGATATGAGTCTCTCCTCCAATTTCTCCTTTTCCTTCTCGCCAACCTTATTTCACATATCGATCTTCTTATCCCTGCAATGTTTCAAACTCGACGGCGATTCCATAGATTTAGGTGAAGTCCTGCGATGGTGATAGGTGCGACAATGACAAATCTTTTCGACAGCCTCCAGATCTGCTCCAACGACGTCGGTTTTGATTGATTTCAACGAGTGTTTTGGTCGATTTCAGCTTATAGGGTTTCAAATTTGACGACGGCGGTTGCAACCCTTTCAGTGCTCTCACAATATGATAATGAAGGCTAGGCCTGGAGCTCAAGGAAGGGTTGGGAAGTAACAAGAGCAGTATAGAGCAAGGGCAGTATAAGGGGTTTGATTTTGGGTAGTGGCTGAGGCTACGATGAGTGTGGGGCAGTAGCAAAGCGTGATGGTGGTCAGCGGAGGGGCCGAGGCCGTTCTGGCGGTGATAGGCGAGGCAGGGGAGGGCTGATGGGCCCGGATACAGAGCTAGGTGCAGGATTGGAAAGGGAGTTGTGAGGCTAGTGAGACAGGGCAGTGGTCGGAAGTGGTTGAGAGGGCGGTGGGAAGGGCGGCATCGGATCAGATGCCGGAAAAAGTCGTCGGAAACTTTTCCGATGACACAGTGACACGTTTCCCGAGATAGTGACATCTGAAAGTGACATGAAAAATGGTAGTGACAAATCATAGTGACACGAAAAAACTACAATGACATGAATAATGTGGTCGGGGGGCGCTGATGGGTGATGTACAGTTTCGCCGGAAAAGGTTGCTGGAAAATTTTCCGACGATCATAGTGACCATCAAAAGTGACATAAAAATCCAATAGTGACACACAATAGTGACATAAATATCAGTCAGTGATATAAAAAACAGTGACATCATGTTTTTTCATATATGTGACCTTCTTGGTCACATTTTTGTCCATTTAAAAAATGGTCACTTTTTGGGAAATCGGCTTCAATTAGGTAATATCCAAGAAAAAAGCTCATTTTTGTAACCCTTCAAAACCTTCAAAATGTTTAATTTTTAAATTCCCTCAATTTGGAGAGTTTTGGATGGTAATTTAAGCTAAATTAGAAATGAATATCAGCTCAATGATTTGAATTCGTCATATTTCAAAGTGGTTTTAATTGTAATTCCTTTAAAAACTCTCTCCTTCCAATTTTATTACTACCAAATACAAAGAAGGGCTTCCTCACGCTCCCCTCCCTTTCCCTCCAACAACATACCTCTTGGAGGGGAGGGGAGGGGAAGACTTTGGAGGAAGCCCTTGAAAGTCATCGAGGCTTTGAGGCACAAAATGAACAGGCCTATTATTTTATAAATGGGGTCAGGAAAATCATACTATGGTATTGAAGAACACTTAAATAAAAATGGTTACGGGTTGAGTTTTCTTAAACATTTCCATTAGTGTGGATGTGCTCGTCTCGTGCTGTGATAAACGGGTCGGGCCACATGTCTTTGCTCACCCGTAAGAGCAGGTTAGGTAGTCCAATAGCAACCCAGCTCGGGGAAATCTTAAATTTATTCAAATTTATCAAAAATAATTTAGAATGTTTTCAAATAATATAACAACACTTAAAAAATTGTTAATGTGTTAATAATGTTTATAGGACTCAAATCACATACACAATATGTTTACACAAAGTATTGTCTTTTATGTGTGGGACCCAAACCACAATGTAGATAATAGGCCAAATGTGTGATATTGCGGGTGCAAAAACTCGGATATAAGGATGAACAAGTACGGGGATAGTGTGTCACCTTGTTTGACCTCCAAAGGGTTTGAAAACACCAAAACTTTGACCATTGACTAGGATGATGATTGGTGAAAGCCACAGTGAAGCCAAATTTAATTCAAGGTTTTACATTTTTACATCCAGGAGAGCAGGGTGAAATACTTCTCTAAGAGTAAATGGAAGAAGAGGTTGAAAACTAGTTCAAAGGACACCACGATGTTTAAGATTAGGATGATATGCTTTAAATGGTATAAATAGTTTATAGGTTAGAATGATTTTGGAGAAGGGCTACCGCCGTTGTAAATTAATCATGAATGCTTTTGGATATGCTTATGTTATGGGCATTGTTATGAGTGTGTTTTGGGGAATGACTATTGCTCTTGTTAGTTTTGTTTTTTTGGATGAAAACTCTTGTTAGTTTTGTAAACTCATCATGAGTGCTTTTGGATATGCTTTTGTTATGGCTAAGATACTATTATGAGTGTGTTTTGGTGAATGGCTACTTTTATTTTTGTGGCTATTCTTTTATTATGATTATTGATTTTGTAATGGATACACTTTTGTTATGGGTACTGATTTTGTAAACTCATATTGAGTGCTTTTGGAAAGTTAATCATTCCACATTAATGCATTACTTTATGAAGAATGTTTTTCCCATTCAAGTATCGAAACACTCTCAACCGCAAGATTTATTTCGATCAAATCGACGACTCAAGATTCTACTAACTTTTTCCAGGATGACCCTCTCTTTTTCCACTGCATCGGCATTTTACTCTGTTCAGAAAACTCCATTTTCAAAAATGACTTCTTCTCACGTCTATACTTCGTTGGACCTCTTTTACCTCTGACTTTTGGAGTTCTGATACCTTGGTCAAGAACTCACAACCTGGAATTCGCTGAGGTCGGAATTCAACCTATTTCCTCATTTACTCGGTATTTTAATCTCATATCCATTTCCCTATTTCACTCATCTCTTTCATATTGAAATCACTGAGGTTGATGTCACGTTGGGGGCCAGGGTTCAGCCAATACACTGTGGCTCCATGACAATGGAAATCTTTTCTTGGTTTCTTTCAATTAATCAAATTCTATATAGAGCTTTAGATCATTTGCAACAATGACCTTGCGTGGAAATAAAGAACTATGTAGATTGAAAGCTTTGCTTTGAAACAAAGTCTTGATATACTTGAGTATGCTATTATTTAATTTTTATTTCACAATTACTAAATAAATAAAAAATTATTACATACAATACTAGCGGCATACGCACTATATATGTGCGACTGATGCCCAACATATTGGTATTGAAAAATGCTATATTACTTGAATATGGTACAATTGGGCAAGTAAAAGAACTATAATAAATCATCAAGAAGAAGAATTAAATAGATCACATGAATGTCATATTGATTTCTAAGTTTGAAAATAGAACCTTAAACATTTTATGGGCATTTTCTAATACCTATCGAAAGGTGTCCAACTGGATTTTGTGACATCAGATTTAAACCTTTCATCATGCACAGGTTGCCTTTTCTTCTTTATGGTAATTGTGTATGTTTCGTCAATAGCTAGGTTCTTAGTAGCTTTCATCACTGGTGAAGACAAATAAAGTAGATAGAAAGTTTTTATTGCTCTTTACCGTGAATTAAGATGCAGTGGTTCGACTGCAACAATGAAGCGCTAACTTTGACTTTGTCATTAATTCCCCATAGTTAACAAAATCATGAGCAACGTTCATTTCAATTAAACGTAGCAACTTGTATACTTTATTAGTGAATAAAGTTGTCTCTAGAACACCAGATATGTCAAAAAGTTCAGCACTAAGTAAACATGGCATTAGATAAATTAATAGATAGATTAATTTATAGTACTTTAGGAAAAGTGTAAACAAACACGGAGTTTACCCTTTTGTATTAGTTAGATCTTGTAACCACAATGCAGACACTAAAATTGAACTCTTTCAACTGAATTTTTTATTGCAACCGTTGCAACCAATGTAATAAGAAACGGTTCCAAAGACAATTAAGTTGAAATTGTCTTCAAGCCAAAAAAAATACTCTATATAATCCAAAATAAGATGAAATCATGCTTTGAATTGTCAGGTTACAAAATCAAGGAATAAAAAATCAAGTCTTGTTTACTAAACGTAGTATTAAATTTAGAAGCTAACCTTATCTTTTGGAAAACTTTTTCTTTCTGGAACAACCTACCAAATACAAATTAAACGTGATGTCGAGTACAATGACTTTAGAATTAATTGAAGTTTTTTAATCTTCATTTTTGCAATATATTCAAAAACACATATTGTTTTCAAAATGTCATTTGCAGAGATGAGAATGATAGTATAATAGATTTGGCTATCTATTATGTCTAATTCTTCGTAAGTGATATCCCATAATTTATTAATGTATGAAGTCATATAAAATGACGTGATTTTTAAAACTATTAAGTAATATTGGATGACAATAACTGTAAAAGGTTTAAGAGTTTGATATGGACTTTAATAGTGCCATATATAAAAAGAATTATATGGTTTACAATATTAATATATGTTGTGAAAGTTGGTTATGTGAAGTAGAGGTTGTTCGACAACATCTATAAGCGCATGATTAATATTAGGCAGAAGAAGATGTTATGTTAAATACATTTTAAGTCAACAAATATCAATTATAACAATATTTCTAAACAGAAGAAATACATTGTTAAATAACAAAAAGATGAACACATAGCAGATTATAGATGTGTCATAGTTCAATACGTAGTGCAGGATGAGGAGTGCTTTATTACAAGTCTATCAATTGTGTCTGAGTTCAAAAAAAAATCAGGTCAACTTTATGAATACCATAAAGCAGAAAATGACAAAAACATAAACTGAGTGTGGACATATACTGAGCTTTCCTATACAATAGATAAAATAATAGGAGTAAACATAAAATTTGTTATCAAAATGTTCTTCATTTCCCTTAATGATCTAAAACTATAAAAAGCCATCACATTCCGCCCAATTACTAATATGCCACATTTACTTGCACTCGATATCATCATTTATCTCATTGCCCACCATAATAGACTCTCTTTTCTTCGCCATCAGTATCACTACACTACCCATGTTTTCCGACAATTGTCCCTCAATTTCAAACATTTCTTTTCTTCATTGCTCATATCAATCAGTGATATATGTCCACACTCAAACAAAATGAATACCATTTTTTCTTATTTTCGCATTTTGGTCATTTGTGTCCAAAAATCTCATTGACAAAAACAGATATGCCAAAAACCGATGTATACATGAATGAATCAATTTTTATTAAAAATGGCCATATATTGACCTCTTCTTGTACTGTTGCTTTGTCTAGAATCACTTGATGTATAGTTGACTAGTTGTATACCATATTCAATAATCAATATGTCATCTTAAATATAAATCTTACTATTCGAGCTTTGCAACAGTTTTTAAGTGTTTTTGAGTTTTTTAACTTAGAGAGTCAACATTAGTGTTTTCAATTATATAATTTTACTTAAATATATAAATGAAAATACGAAATGCACATGAAAATTTCGGAATAGACATTACCTCGATAGTAGGGTTTTGAGAATAATGATAACCATGAAGAGAAAATCCACCGTGTGACAATTATCAATTAAAAGAAGTGAAGATGGATATCAGAGGTGTTTTGGAAGGGAGTTATGTGTGTGGGAATGGAGGAGTATGTTGGAGGGAGAGAGAGAAGTGATGAGGGGAGGGGTAAAGTAATTAAAATGAATAGTAAAAAATAGGTTTATGTACTCTGTAAACATTGTGTACTACTTGTGTACAAAGAATGTTTTTTAAAATAATTGTGTAAATTCATCCGAAAATTGTATTTGTACACCTTGGATTACACCTTGTGTTACACCAACCCTATTTATGTATCCTTCACACAGACAAAAAAAGTATAAATACAGACACTTTTTGACAAAAATTGTTTGTTCGAATAAAAATTTTCCGTAAACATGTCTGCGCACAGAAAAAAATTATGTGAACAAACACTTTTTGTATATATACAGAAATGGGTGATAATAAATTCTTAAAACCGTTTAACATTCTCTACAAAGTATTTGTGTTGCACGGATACTGATACGGTGAAACGCCGATACGCGAATACGAGTATGGTAATACGGCATCTTCGAAAATTATAGGATACGAGTATGGATCTACATTTATAAAAACTAATAGTATATGGTATAATTTGGAAATATATTTAATCCATATGTTCATAAATAAAATAATAATAGTACCAAAACATAATAATCATA